TGCAGTTTTCCCTAACAGAAAGCAAAATTTCACGCACACTCTTTGTTCCTTCTGGTCGGCCATCTCACTAATCGCCAAAGGGTTGAAACAGGAACGCACACAACAGAGCACCACAGACAAACCACTTAACTCAGACTGACGCCAGCTCACTAACAGTCGCGGGAGACCCCCAGCTAACACCACCTAGCAGCACAACTCGTAACTACAAAGCATGCACGCGCAACAGGTCGGTTCCGGTTATTTTTGGGTCCCCCTTCGTACCATCCTGGGATCATCTAGTTTTAATTCAACTTAATTCCTTAGGCTTACAGCATTACTGTTGTCATTAACATCACCAGTTTTCTCCTAGTGTTATAAATCCATGGATGAGACCTGAAAAGCTTTAAGATAAGACAGCTGTCTCTTTTTTTTCCCCCTTGTTTTTAATTTATGACCACTTGGGGCTTGTAAAAAGAGGCAGTCGATTATAGGGAGTGGAAGTGGACAGTGGTTGGAACTTGGGGCTTGTAAAAAAGAGGAAGTCGGTTATAGGGAGTGAAAGTGGACAGTGGTTGAAGTTTAGACAGGGAGCAAAGAGGGGAGTTACAGGAGAGGCTAGCTTGAAGGAGGACTATGTAAAGAGTACGCAGTCTTAAAATTAAGACAGTAATACACGGTCTTGATTCTGGAGACCTCGTAATTTATTAACCCCAAAGTGTGTTCCCCTCCTGGTATCTGAAGGCCCTGTATCCCTGGAACAACGAACCCATCTCAAGCGATAGTCGTGGCAGCTGTACTTCAGCGGGCGGCTAAAGTAAGGACATCCTACTAAACAGTCACTGGAATATCTGCTGTAATAAAAACAATAGTGTGAATTGTTAAAATGGAACAGCACACATATCAAATTTCCTTCAAAAAATACTTGCTGCATACTAAGCAATTGTGCTTCAAAGTAATATCAGTAAAGGATCTTTGGCATTTCATAATGCAAATAGTTATCATAATACTTTAGTGCACATGAAATGGAAGAAAATGGATTAAAAACAATTATATACAAAGACATAGTTCCAAAACACAAAAATACAGCCATATTTCAAAAGTTAGAGGTTATGTATTAAAATCATTTCACAGTCATCATCTTAACACATTGCGGACCGGTGGTTTAAACATTTAAATCACCCTGGGGACCGGCGTTTTTAAACCTACTATCCTAACTTGTGCACTGTTCACTCTAAAAATTAATATAAAATCTCCTAATTAATATTATGAACTGAAATTTTTTGAGAACACTTACCGGAGCTCCTAGAAGTGCTTGCATGTGTGATATCTCTGGAAACATTCCCCTTTGTGAAGAGGCGTTATGCAGAATTTGCACATGTAGTCAGTTCTACTCTTCTCCTTGTGCTCTGCGCACACACGGCACTGCCTAGAAGGGTGTTTCTTCTTGCAATGTTCACTCTTCACAATTTTCACGAGAATATGTTTCCGCATATCACCCGAGAGTCGGCCAGGGGGGTCTACTTGAGGCCTCCGGCGGGTGCGAACAGATGGCCCCGGCTCCACTACGTCTGTGTCTGACGCAGGTACTGCCGCCACCATGACGTCAGTAGCCCAAGCTTTTGCCGGTTTCAACAGAAATGCTTTGTATTTCAAAGTAGAATTTCTGTTCACCTTTTTGAAAACCGTAAATGAATTGAAAATTGCACAGTTTATAAGACACAGTGCAACTTTCTTCGTCCATTTTACTGTTTTCCTAGGTAGGGAATAATAGGCCAAGAACTTGTCGGCCCTATCAACTACTTTCATGAACATATTATACTGGGAAATACAAAGAGGCTTCTTTACTTGCCCATGTCGTCTTTGGACATCGACCATGCTCGAACTGTGAATAGTGGAAACCATATTCACAACGCGAGTATCCCTCCAGGACTGAAGAAGAATGTCCTCCTTC